GCCCCGGTTTTGGTGGTGCTCACGTCTCAGAGCCTCTCTGCCTGACCTCGGTCCACTGCACTCCTGTTTGCCTTGCCCTCGTCCCAGGGCAAATTGCCAGCTGCTCGCATTACAGAGGCCTGCATGAAATAAGCAGTGACATCGAGCTTCCTGGTGCCTCAGAGAAGGGGACCACAGAAAACCGGGTGCGGGAGAGGAGAGGTGCAGGAGCGTAATCACCTCTCCTCTCCCGCACCAGTTTTCTGTGGTCCCCCCTTCTCTGAGGCACCAGGAGGCTTCGATGTCACTGCTTATTTCCATGCAGGCCTCTGTAATGTGAGTAGCTGGCAATTTGCCCTGGGACGAGGCAAGGAAAAAACAGGAGTGCAGTGGACCGCGAGGTCAGGCAGAGAGGCTCTGAGACGTGAGCACCACCAAACCCGGGCGGGGAACACAAGGTATCATTAGGCACAGCCCCTCCCTTCTTCAGGGGAAAACTCCCAGTAGGTCAGACCGGATGTTCAAGATCTGGGAGGCTGCTCCACGGTGCTTCCAGGTCCTTTCCCACCCCCCTGCCATCAGCCCCCCACATCCCTGTGTCTGCTTTAGCTGCGGCCACTCACCAGGCGGCATCTGTAGAGACGCCTCCTGCTCGAGTCCAGCTGGCTGAGGCCCCACGGCTCCTCCCCGATATCCGGCTGTCCAGCTGCCCAGGCCTCTACCCCAGAGCCTGCTGCTCCTGGAGCTGGAGCTGCCCTCCTGCTTGATCTGCATTAAGAGGTCAGGGCAGGAACCAGGGCCCGAGCCTGAGAAAGGGAAAGTGCATGAACACAGCATCAGGGCCCCTGACCGGGTGGGGACACACATCCAGCCAAGGAAATGGACAAGGGCGCTTACAAGGCTCAGATGGCAAAGAGCCTGGTGGGAACTGAAGGCCAGAGCAAGCAGGGGCAGCGGGGCCTTCTGGGCAAAAGCATGAGGTCACACTGCAGTGAGCATAGGGGAGGGTGGGAAGGGAGTGAGGAATGACCGTGAGTTCTTAGGGCTGGATCTTTGTCCTGGGAAGGCCACGCTGCTCTGGGAGGTCCTGCCCTCACTCTTAACATAGAACGTTACATAAAATGTAGCCCAGTATCCCCAAACCTTACCCCACAACAAGACATGTATATGAATGAGCATAAAACAAAGATTCCAGAATAAGAATCAAAGAGCAAATGCAAAGTCAAATCAAGAGTTGGAACAGAGGCCAGGTGACCCAGGAGTTGCTGGAACAGGACACAGGCCTTGGAGGCTGGGCTTTGATGTCCAGGTGTGGTGAGACAGTGCTGAGCTGCCTGCGTGAAGCCAAGAGCCAGGAGGCTGTCCCCCCCCTCCCCGGTGAGCTGGGAGCTGGAAATAACTCCATCCACCTGAGGGCTACAAGGAAGCCGCCACCTGTCTAGAGCCACGGGTGGGACAGCCACCCTAAGAAACGGGAATTTCCATGTCCACACCGAATTCATACTACCTACGTGGTGCAGAGACCCTAAGCTGAGAAATTCACAGAAACGCTGGCTGACCACCACGGCTTCAGGCTTCCCCCCCCATACCAGCACAGGCAACAATGCAAACCTGCCCATGGGGGGGACACCCCCACAACTCAGGCCACAGGAGGTCTATGAAAATAAACTCAGGCCACAGGAGGTCCATATGAAATAAACTTACAAACCAGGGAGAGCCAAACAACACGAGAATCGTGGCCGAACTCACTCCCAAGAACTTCACGGAAAAAAGAAGCTGAAGGATATGGTGTCTTAAGTATCAGCGTGGGAGTTGACACAGCACAGCCTGTGCCCGAGGGTCACTGGTGCCAGGTCACACCACCGAGTCTCGAAACCCCAGGCCAGGTCTTGGTGGCACAGCAGGACCAGCAGAGGGACAGAGAGTCTCAGGATGACAGCATCTTAAACATCAAATCTTTCAGGGGATGCCTGGGTGGCTAGTCGGTTAAGCGCCTGACTCTTAGTTTCAGCTCAGGTCACATGATCTCACGCATTCCTGAGATCGAGCCCTGTCAGGCTCTGTGCTGACAGCCGAGGCTGCTTGGGATTCTCTCTCTCTCCCTCTCTGCTCCTCCTGGCTTGTGCCCACGCAGCGAAAGCTCACTCTCCGTCTCTCTCAAAATAAATAAATAAAATTAAACATGACAAAAAAATAAACACAGTTCTCAGACATTACTGAGCTCACAACTACAAATCGCCTCAACCAGAAAAGCAGCTGCCTCAGTGGGTCAGCAGACCACACACTGCAGGATCTGCCCTGCAGAGATGTTACATAGGATACTGTAATTACCATATACAGAATATGGACCTTATTATATCTGAAAAAATAAAAAGGGGAGCATCTGATGAGATTATCAAAACTGATTATAGGAGGCTGGGTGGCTCAGTGGCTCATAATACAGTTGGTGTCTGACTTCAGCTCAGGTCATGATCTCCGCGGTTTCTGGGTTCAAGCCCCGGCCAGGCTCTGTGCTGGTTTCAGGTGGTGTGGAGCCTGCCTGGGATTCTACTCTTTCCTCTGCGCTCTCCCAGTTCATGCTCTCTCTCTCTCAAAAAAATAAAATAAATATATGTTGAAAGAAAATAGTAAAATAAAAAAACAGGTGGAATTAATTTTAACAATATATTTTACTTAACCCAATATATCCAAAATGTTCAGCATTTATGTATCTCATCTTTATAGTACTTTTAAGTCACCAACAGCCACATGTGGCTAGTGCCACCATGCTGGACATTTAAAAGGTAAAGATGATCGGACTAAAAATGAACAAGAAACCTAACTATATGCGGTTTGCAAAAGACACGCCTACAACAGAAGAAGGGCAAAAGCAGTGTAAAAGAATCAAAGCCAGAATAAAGAAAATTTTTAAAAAGATGCAGTTATCCCATATTGATGAAATAAAATAAAAATTTTTTTTCAATGTTTATTTTAAGAGAGAGAGAGAGAGAGAGAGAGACAGACAGAACAAGAAGGGGAGGGCAGAGAGAAGGAGACACAGAATCCAAAGCAGGCTCAGGCTCTGAGCTGTCAGCACAGAGCCCAACGTGGGGCTTGAACTCACAAACCACAAGATCATGACCTGCACCAAAGTCAGAGGCTTAGCC